ATATTGACATATATATATATATATATATATAGTATGAATCAAACAATTCGAAATTACTTAATTAAGAATCATAGGTTGTGCAGTATTTAAGAATAAATGTGAATTTTTTTGTTTTTCACAATTAATTTGTATTAACTTTCGGTTTTCACATTTAGTTTGTATTAATATATAATTTCCTTATTTAAGTAACATATATCAGGGTATCAAATCACCCGTATCATTTTTTTTCTCGAAAATGGATGATTTGAAAAAATTAGAGAAAAAATTTTACAAAACATTACAAAAACCTACCTGAATTATCTAACATTTTGATTATGCTTGTATATTGAGAAGTTAATTACAGTTATAGTTATTATATAAAGTGTTTTTAATGATTAAAACGTTAATTAATTCAATTAGCACGTTTCATTAAAGACATTTCATACATTTATGCAAATAAAATTGTTCTTTGATTTCCGCGTAAATCAATTGATATCAAAGAATCACAAGGAAATATCCAAGTAAACATAATTGTTTACAATTATGTCTAAGAAATTGTTAAATAAAACAAAAAGCTATTAATTAAAATAATTGAAAAATATTAAGATAAGGAATGAGAGACGTACAAGAAGACGCAATCGTGCCTTCTATAATGAATCTTTGCTCTCAGCAAAGTTATCTCGAATTGATCCTTTAATCTCATAAGAACTCCTTGAAGAAAAACGAAGGTTGACTGATCGATCGTTCTGTCGGAAATCCGAGCCGGGCCTCATTTCCTATCCGTCTAGACGTTATTTCAAAACGGCTGATTGCACCATACAGCTGTCTCGTTGCGAGAAACGTATACATTAGATAATATTACCAGGTAATATTACCAGGAAATAAACCAAATTTTTGTATTAGAATTTTTGTCTTATTTTTAAGTCAGGAATATATCATGAAAATTTTGGTTGCGAGTTTTAACTTAATTCATCGTTTAAAACATTGAAACACTGAAAAAAAAGGAGTAAAAAGAAAGAAACTAATATTTTAAATCCTTTTTTAGAATAAAAAAGAATGTGATATAAAAATATATAAGAATATAAAATATTAGTGGACGAAGAGAAAATTCTGATGACGCGAAGTCATCTTTTGTTAGCACGACCAGGAAGTACCGTGTAGATTAACCGGAAGTCCGTGCGCACGTGCGTTAATCGCGGACGAATAACAGTGCACCACGGCGCAATTAAGCGCAGCACAATGATGAAGTTAATGTCATGGTCGTCGCGGAGCGGGTGCGGCGCGATTGCAATTCAGCGCAATTTATTTGCCGCGCCTGCATTCGATGGGGTGTTTGCCGGCTACGTTTGGGACGAATAGTAGGGACGCGCTTAAATTTAACATATAAATTTAAAGCATCGCGCATTAATTCTTTCGCGCAAGATAATTCGGTAATGTAACGCATATATAGTACGAATATTATGTGAGTAAGGATATTAGATCCACATCATTAGTATCCTTATATATGACAGACGTGTGATGTATCTTCCATTTTATTTCGCACTTGCGAGTACGAAATAGTGCGTAAAAAATATTTGCATCAGTGCCATGTTGGCATAGTAAGTAATCTTGAAAGACATGTCTATTTAGTATTATTGCGCGCTGTGTGGTACGAGCTTCCATTCAGATTCGCCTGTCGCGAATGTGATCTTTAAGATAATCACGTGATTATCTCACTCGATTTATAAAACTCACGTTCCCGCTTGTTGCGATTTTCGTTATCCGCGGTATATCTTGAGAACCAGTGCGAGCGACGCAAGGCATGCCTGCGAGGTGTTTCGTGAATCGGAATTTAGAGAGTCGAGGAAACGAAGAAAAGGAAACAGATCTTAAGATCTTCTTTTTTTTCTGTTTTTTTTTCTATCCTCACCTTAGGCACCTCGACAATCATCGATGGGATCGACTCGGAGTGTACGTGCAATATTTCTGAATTTGAAGGATTAAAACGTTCGAAAATATCAAGAGATTTTTTTTTTACAAGGAAAACTGTGTGTGTTCTCTTGATAAATAAAATATACATTGAGATACAAGATACAAAAAAGTCAGAAACAATATATATATATATATTATTTTTTTTTATACTGGTGCAATGATTACATTGTATCAAAGATTACTTTTATCTCATGCTAAAAGGCACTTTCCATATACACATAAACATAATTTTAATACAGCGAGATCTCTCATTAAGATCTCATTCAGAAGCACGTGCCATTACAGAACGATGTTATCAAATGTAGGATGATTCATAAGTAACATATAAGAAACTTGAATAGTAGATTTATAGGACGTCCTCTATTTAATTACAGATCAAGATAAAGAAATTTTTCAGTAAATCATTAAATGCATAAAACAGAAGTTTTTTTATTTTGTGTTGACAACAGAAATTGCGATGAAAATAATTGTCCTCCGTTGACAATTCTTTGCAAAAATTATTAATAAAAAAAATCTGTTTTCACATGACATTAATCGCAAGTTATTTAAGCGAGAGACTCTAGTGAAGAACTGAACCAGGCAATGTTCTTTGATTTCAGCACGGATAGCGGCTGGGACAACCCGTTCAGGCCGGATGGCGATCTCTCCCGGGAAGCCGACGAGATTGTCGAGCTGATAAAGGGCGGAAAGCCAATCACGCCGACTCCAGGTCAAACGGCGCCGCCCTTGCCAGGATGCGACGGCAAATCGACTGGTGGTGATTCGAGTACCAGTCCGCTTCTGAAATCTGCGAATTGTCACGCCAACTCGTCGCCGAGGCCCGGTCAGGAAAATGGTAGCGCACACGGTGGCACTCCTTCGAAGGCCACCGGCAACCAGCCTGTCAATGAAAAGGTGAGACGAAGAGGTACATTGATACTATACAAAAGTTCACTCAATTTCTTCTAACATTAATTATATAAAAAAACGACGATTTTACTGAAACTAAAAATTTGGTCAGATTTGAAGATAATTTTATTTTCTATCAAAATAATTATGTAGAACGTTTAACGTAATATTACAAAAATTTTTTATTTTAGCAACCAATTTGAATGTCTCACATAATTATTTGGACAACTCAAACATTTTTAGATCTGTATCTGGCCAAATTTTTCGATTCAGTAAAACTATTCCTATTGTGTGTTAATTCAATAACTTGTACGATGTATTTATTTAAAATGGAAAGTCTATCGAAGATGTTGAACATTATTAATAAAGGATCAGAGAAAAAAGAAATAATTTCAACAGTCAATAATAAAATGTTTATTTCAGGTTGGCGCATCCCGGACTGCGACGGTAGAAGTCGCGAGGATGACGGCGCAGGGCCCGGGCGACGCGTCACAAGTCGAGCATGTCACTCTGAAGAAGAAGCCTAAGTGCAAATGCTGCGTGTTGCAGTAATGACCGCGTGACGGAGGCGGCGGAGACGCGCATTTGAGGATGGACCTTCCTCCATTATCGGAAACGTGATGTCAGCTTTGAAGCTACTGAAGAAATCACGGTTACACGGCTCGAATCGTCAAGAGCGCGTTAAAGAAGAAATGCTTCAAAAAGGATGCCGAAACACGTCGAGAAAAGCGTTGATACTTCAAACATCCTCGAAGAGGATAAGATTGACTGACTTTTCGGAGAAAAAAAGAGAGTTTCGTCTTTGAAGAAATCTAGAGAAAAATATTTGAAATGAAGAAAATGTGTAGTTGTGGATATTAAAGAGTGTTCTCGGATTATCGGGAACTTGACGATAGTCAAGTCAAACGAGATATGTATCGAATAAGCTTCTTTTAATCACAAAGAAGTTTAAAGAAAAACAGGAAGGAATATTTCATTGGAAACGAAAAGAGGGCAAGCTTGGACTAGCATTTGAAAAAAATGAGCCAAAAACTGTCGATGTTTGTTGCGGAGATTGCAATCTCTCTTAAGATATTTTGGAAACTAAGATTGAAGCTTGCGGAAGATTAAACTCTCATCAAATTTGAGCATAAGAAAGAAGGATCCACGTAAAAGACGAGGAACAGTGCGCGAATATTGAACCGCT